GAAGAGGGAGAGAGGAGGCAATGGAGAGATGAGTACAGAGAGAAAGGGGAGAGACAAAGCAGGGGGCAGAGAGAAAGTGGGATATAGAGAGGAGGGTGTGAAAGGGAGAAAGGGTGGAAAATATAAGAAGGACAGAGAGAGTAGGGGAACAGGGAGAGGAGGACAAAGGAGGTGACAGAAAGAGTTGGGGACAGAGAGAGAGGGAGGAAAAAGGATAGGGGACAGAGTGGGGAGAGGGAGGGGGCAGAAAGAGGGGAGCAGGAAGAGGGGGACAGAGAGAGAGAAAGGGACAAGGGGTAGTGACAGGGAGAGGTGTTGAAAGAGAGAGTTGTGTGGGTTAGAGAGATGGGCAAATAGGGGGGTGAAAGAGAGGGGGGTGGCACAGATAGAGAGGAAAGATGGGGGTGGGGGAGCAGAGAGAAGAGGGACAGAGAAGGGAGACAGAAGGGAGCATGGAGCAGGGGACAGAGAGACAGAGAAGAGGGCTGGGGGTTACAGGGAGAGGAGGTGATGGGGGAACATGTTCCAGACTGTGGGGATGGGAGGGAGAGAGAGAGAAAGAAAGAGAGGAGAGAGAACAGAGGAAGGGAGGAGATAGAGGGGGGCACAGAGAAACAGAGAGGCAGGCAAGAGGAGGTCAGAGAGAGAACAGGGGACAGAGAGGTGGGAACAGAGAGAGGGGGAAAGGAAGAAGGGGATGGGGGACAGAAAGAGAGGAGAGGACAGAAGGGGGACAGTGAGAGAAAGAGGGGAGTCAGACAATGGGGAGCAGAGCAGGGTGGAGTTAGAGAGAAGGGAACAGAGTGAAAGAGGGAGGGAGTAACAAGGAAGACAGAGGGAGAGTGGGGGGAAGGAGGGGGACAGATAGAGGGGGGAAGACAGTGGAGATGAGGGGACAAAGAGTGAGGGGGGACAGAGGAAGACTGGCAGAGAGAGGGGCAGAGAGGGAGAGAGTGACAGAGACAGAAGGGGTAGAGGGGAGACAGAGGGGGAGACAGAGTAGGGGGACAGAGATGGGCAGGGTGGGGGGACTCCCATGGACTTACCACTTAACTCCCATGGACTTACCACCCGGCCCCAGCAGTTTTCTCATGCCCTGGTTTCATCTGTATACCTATGGCACCCCCTCCCCTTTATACTGCTAGATTATTCTAGTGCAAATCTCATAAATTCATTTCATTCATACATAATTTGTACTTATCTCAAAGACAAAGACACAACCACAATACTCCCATTACCCTCTCTGAGCCCCCACCCCCCAAAAAACAGCCATTCTTTGAAGCTACCACATTGTCCCAACTATTTCACACTTTTTTTTTTTTTTTAGATTTTTATTTATTTATGTGACAGGTAGTTACAGACAGTGTGAGAGAGAGACAGAGAGAAAGGTCTTCCATTGTTTCACTCCTCAAATGGCAGCAAAGGCTGGAGCTATGCTGATCCAAAGCCAGGAGCCAGGTGCTTCCTCCTGGTCTCCCATGCGGGTGCAGGGCCCAAGCACTTGGGTCATCCTCCACTGCCTTCCCGGGCCACAGCAGAGAGCTGGACTGGTAGAGGAGAAACTGGGACTAGAACCCGGTGCCCATATGGGATGCTGGCACTGCAGGCGGAGGATTAACCTAGTGTGCCATGGCGCCCGCCCCTGTTTCACACTTTTTTAAAAAAAACTAGTTTGAATATGTATTCAAAAAATGTTCGCATGTGGTATTTAGTGGATAGTGCTATTAATCTACAACTGTCTCTCACTTCCTGTCACATGGAAATAATCAGGTAGTCTTGTTTCCTGCATCCCTTATAAATTGGTAGTTAGAGCTGGAGGCTTGGTTAGATTTAGATTGATTATTGCGTGGGGAGACAAGGTGGCTTACAAGTGGTGCTGTGTGCCTCTAAACAGCAGTAATGACCACTATTCAGAGGGTCCAGGTGTGGTCAGCCTGATCCCTCCCCTTTATAAAGTTCCCTGCTCTTCTTTTACCTGACCTGTGACCCTGGTAGCACATGACCATCACTTGGGAAGTTTATTAAACCCACTGAGACTGGTGTTTTATTTTAAAAAAATATTTTTAAAAAATGTATTGGGTGAGATGGGCATTTAGCCTAGTGGTTAAGACATCATGCTCCACATCAGAATACTTGGATTCAATCCCGGCATCTGGCTCTTGGGCTGTTGCAGGCACTTGGGGAGTGAACTAGCAAGTGGGAATTCTTTCTTTTCTCAAATGTTCAGAAGCAGACATAGAAAGAGCTCCCACATGCTGGTTTACTCCCCAAATGCCCACAATGGCTGGGGATGGACTGGGGCTGAAGCCTAGGAGCTAGGAACTCAATCCAGGTCTCTCATAGATGAGAGATGTTTGAGCCATTACCACTGCCCCCTGGGGCCGCATTAGCAGGAAACTGGAGTCAAGAGTTGACATCAGAAATTGAACCAGATACTCCTATGTGGGATGGGGATGTCTTAAGCAGCATCTTAACTACTAAGGGAAACTCTTGACCCTCAAAGCATTTTAAATGGACCTCCTGTGAGGCTCATGCATCTGTGTTGTTAAAAACTCCCTAGGGGATTTTATTATGCAGCCAAGGTTGAAAACTACTGTGGTGGGGGCCAGCACTGTGGCATGGGTAAAGCTACTGCAATGCTGGTATCCCATGTGGGCCCTGGTTCTAGTCCCAGATGCTCCCAGTTCAAGTCCCGACTGCCCCACTTCCGATTTAGCTCTCTGCTATGGCCTGGGAAAGCAGTGGAAGATGGCCCAAGTCGTTGGGCCCCTGCACCCATGTGGGAGACCCGGAAGAAGCTCCTGGCTTCTGGCTTCAGCCGTTGGGGCCATCTGGGGAGTGAACCAGCAGATGGAAGACCTCTCTCTCTCTCTCTCTCTACCTCTGCTTGTCTTGCCTTTCAAATAAATAAATTAATTAAAAAAAAAAAAAACACTGTGGTGAAAATGTTATGATCATTGCTGGATCTCATTAGGAGTTTCAAAGGGGTAAATCTTTTTTTGAACAGTGATATAATTCTTTCATGCCTTTGGTGATGATCAACTGGAATTCTGTAAGGAAGGCTTCTGTCATTGACTAGCTGATTTCCAAAGGATAAAGTTTGTGCAGGGTATGCGGATGAATGTTCTTTTCCCTCTATTTATCAGCTTTCAAAATAACACACGTGCTGCTCCAAAGGGGACCTAAGGGATTTTACATTATCCTAAACTCTTCAAAATGAAACAAAGTTCCCATTTAATTCCTTCATATTCCTCCAAACAGTTCTGATGAGTCTTTCTGCTAATGTGGCAAAATGAAAAGATATTTGCTTAGCGATTCTAAGGAAGCTACTTAGCCTGTTAGCTTCTCTCCCCATTGTTCCAATGCAGACAATAGTTCTACAAAAGTGGAGTGACTAGCTCACCTCGATTTGCCTAGAATTTTCTGTTTTAGCATTGAAAGGCATGTGTCCTGTGCAGCCCCTTACTCCCAGGCAAACTGGGACGGTTTATCACATTAATATTGTTACAAGGATTAAGTGTAAATATGTGTAAAATGCTTTGTATGTAGCAGATTGTCAACAAATAGGAGCTACTTTCTTTGTAACCATATTTCATAATCTGGATTTCTATCCTTCCCCCCAGTTTTGGAAAGCATATTCTAAAACATGGCGGTGGGGGTGTAACCGGTGCACCTGGTGGCCTTTTGGGGGCAACAATATCAACGGTCCTCTTTTCTAGCCTAATAGATCCTGAAATATTTTGCCTGGGAGCTTTGATTCAAAGACCAAGTCTGCAGTCTTAAGAATCTGTGGGTCTGTGATAATGTTCCTCTCGTACTTAACTCCAGCCCTGGGGAGTAGCAGAGGCCAGTGAACTGGTAGGTTTGGGGCCTGGGTCAGCTTTCTGATGAGGATGGTCTGTTCTTGATTCACTACCCAGCACCTCTAAGCCTGATTTCAAAATCCAGAGAACTTAGCTCTCCCTTCTCAACTCCCCATATTCCTACATTGCATCTCCCACCTCTAGTTGCACCCTTAGGTCCTGTTTGTTGACTTGTTAGTCCGAATCAAATGTTTGGGATATTCAGCATGAATGGAATCTTCCAAGAATGATTTACACAGCTCGGCTTCTTGTCTCCTTGGGGAGGTGGTTTGGGTCTGTAATGGAAGTAACACTGATATAGGAGCCAGAGAACCTGAGCTCTGGTCCTAGAAATCCATTAGTTACCTTTGTGCAAGATGTTTCCTCCTTTCCTGAGCTCAGTTCTCTCATCTGTAACATGAGGAGATTGGAATAATCCCAACGCTTCCTTCAACTCTGATAAACTCTATCCCTGCAATTCAGACATTTATATTCTAGATGACCCCTTGTAAGCCATAGATGTGCATGTGAGAAAACATAAGGTCTTGGGCCCCAACTGGCCTGTTGAATGGCAAGGTGAGAAGTCACTCCAAGTGATAAAGGTATAAGGGTGTGTGGGAGGTATGTGGGTGGGAGTGGTGAGGGGGATCCCATGCATCTCCAAGGAAAGCTGTGGTCCTGAAGCAGATTTCCTATTTACCTGCCCCCTGGATTCCTGAGGCGCACAGTATCAGACTGATCTCATTGGAAACTACCCCATAAAGGCTCCCATCATGAGGTCGTGGCTTATGCCAGGATGGGCTAATTAGAGCCTTAACCTGTAGCTCTGAGATTGAGCCTTTTAGGACTATTTATGATAAAAGGCAGTTTGGGATCTGTGATTAGGTTAACAAACATACTTGGTCTTTGTCCCCACTTCCTGGTACAGAACTCCTAAGACACGTGGAATTTCCTTAGTGACTGGAGTACATTGTTATTTATCATGAGCCCTGTTGGCCACACCTGAGTTTATGCTGATGAGCTGACTTGGGGGAGGGCCCCTAGATGGACTAGGCAGGGAGTTGGTCACCAGAAAGACCAAGTATTACAGCATTGGAACTTTCAGCCCTATCCACCCACCTCGAGGTGGGAAAGAGGGGGCTAGAGATTGGTGAACACACCAAGATGTGGGGGTGAAGGGGTGGGGAAGGGGAGGGAAGATAGGAAAGGCATGAAAGCTCCACGCTCTCCCCCATACCTTGCTCTGTACCTCTTTTCCATTTGGCTGCTTCTGAGTTTTGTCCTTTATAACAAATTGGTAAACCTAAACACTATTTCTAGTGCATTATGGAACCTGAAAAGGGATCCATGGAAACCGCCAATCTTCCTACTGGTGTCTGAAATGGCTGAAGTCTTATAAAACTGAGCCCCAGAAGCTGTGAGGTCTCCCAGATAGCTGGTGGCAGAATTGAGTTGAACTGTTCAACACTCATCAGGTATCAGAGAATTGATTGTTGTCATCCTGCGAGTTTTAAAAATGATGCGTTTGTAGCTCTATCTGTTCAAGTTCATTGTCTTGTGCTCAACAAAGAATGAAGACACAGACACAGAGGAGTGAGCAAAGGGCAAAGCAAAGACCTGGAAGTGAACAGAGATGGCTCTCACAGCCAAGTGGCACAACAGGAGGCACCCTGGGAAACAGAAAGGCCTGTTGAAATGAGCACAGACTCCCAGGAAAGGCAGCCATGAGACAGCCATTGAAAGCATGAGAGGTAAGCATTTGGTCCACTTGCAGAGAAAGGTATTTAGCTGTGAGCAGACAACTAACTAGCACAGCAACATGAACACAAGCTAGCATAACAACTAGGTTACATGCACCAGAAAATTCTTAGGCAAACAGGATATCAGGAGTGGCCAGGAAAACTGAAGCAAATGCTGGGAAAATAACTCCATGGCACTCAGTCAGTGAGGAAATAGGGGAGGAACTTGCATGCTAGGAAGTAAATAGCTGTAAACTCCTTGGGTTTGCCTGCCTACTTCCCAGACACACAATGTTGCAAGGCCATTAAAAAATCTGACTTTTGCTGCACTTCCTGAATCTGAGTCCATTTTTAGGTGGATGAGTGAGCTTGTTTCTCATAAAAGGAAGTCATCTGGGGGCTTTATATCCTCTGAAAGTTTACATAGTGTTTTTTTTTTTTTTAAGATTTATTTATTTGAAAGCCAAGTTAGAGAGAGAGAGAGAGAGAAAGAGAGAGAGAGAGAGAGGAATCTTCAGTCCACTGGTTCACTCCTCAAATGGCCAGGCCAGAGGGAGGAGCTTCTTCCAGGTCTCCAAAGTGGGTACAGAGGACCAGGGATTTGAGCCATCTTCTGCTGGGGCCCAAGCACTCAACCCGTCCTCTCCTGCTTCCCTGGGCTGTTAGCAGGGAGTTAAATTAGAAGTGGAGTATCTGGGCTGGCGCCGCAGCTCACTAGACTAATCCTCCGCCTGCGACGCTGGTACAGTGGGTTCTAGTCCCGGTCGGGGCGCTGGCTCCTGGCTTCGGATCAGTGCGGTGCGCCGGCTGCAGCGCACTGGCCGTGGCGGCCATTGGAGGGTGAACCAATGGCAAAGGAAGACCTTTCTCTCTGTCTCTCTCTCTCTCTCACTGTCCACTCTGCCTGTCAAAAAAAAAAAAAAAAAAGTGGAGTATCTGGGACTCCAACAGGTGCTCACAGCAGGTCCAGCATTGCAGGCGGTGGCTTAATCTACTGCACCATAATGCCAGACCCCAAATTCAAATTCTTAAGTCTCACCTCTGGCCCACTGAATTGGAACCTTCTGGGGAAAGGTTCAGGAGTTTTTTACATAAATTTGAATTTTGTATTTTGAACAACTGCCCTAAATGATTCTTATCATTTGGCAACTTTGGGAAACTGGCATTCACAGATTCCCTTAATTTAGCAAACACCTCTAGGACCTTCAAAACCCAGTTTATTTCCTGGAAAAAAAATCAATTTAATAGGCTTTTAGAAGTACACAATGTTCCTAAACCAAATTTAAGACCCCCCAAGAGTCCAGCTGTACCAGTTCAGACCCTTTAAGAATGTTCTATGAATACAAAGGCTGCGGGCTAAGGTGAGGAAGTCATAAATAATATGTCTCTCTTTGGTTCTATTGTCTTCTAGGTGGCTTGCAATTCTCCTGGACCTGGTTGGGAACTTGAACATCCTTTCATTCTTGATGATGGTTATTTATAGAGAGACCCTAAACGGGGATGTTGTGGGCTCTGTTTTGTCCACTGCAGCTGATGTGAATCTGAAGCAACCATCTTGGGAGTTACTTGCTCCTCAAGCCTGCAGACACGTCTCTTGATTGGTTAGTTCATCTGCCAAGAGATTGTTGGGTTGTCTGTGGGTTATAGAGTTGTGGTCGCAGATGTCTCTCCTGATGCCTGACTATAGGCCAGGTTGTGGTGTGGTTTGTTAGCATCTGCATTCTGATACCATAAAGATACTCCTGGCCCCATAATACCTGACTGGTTGGAATGTTTATTATTAATTCCATTCTGTAAGCCAATTACCTTTTGCCTAGTTTTTGTTTTCCTTCACCAAAACATGTAAATTTTTTGTATAACTGACTGCAGTGTTAATAAACAGAATCCTTTTGTTTCAGCTGGACCTCTGATAAGGGTATGACTCAAAGACCAAATTTGGCCTGCTGTATCTGTAAGTGAATTCTTACTGAAACACAGCCATGCTCCTTGGTTGCTATCTTATCTTTTTTTCATGTTGAATGCAGAGTTCAGTGGTTGTAATAAACTGTATGGCTCACAAAGAGTAAAATGTTTTACTATCTGACCCTTTACCAAAAAAAAAAAAAGAATGTTTGCTATCTCCTGCTCCAGAGCCTCCAGTGTAGTCTGGACCAGCTCGTGTTTGCATTTGAAAGAGGGAGAGAGAGAGAGAGAGAGAGATGGGACGAGAGAGAGAGAGAGAGAGAGAGAGAGAGAGAGAGAGAGAGGCCAGAGTTAGACTAGGGGAAGATGGCTGTGGGGACACCTTTGCGGATTGTACACTGCTAACTCTGGAGAAGGAGGAAGGCAATGAAGGCAGAAGAGGTAAGGAAATGGATCTCCTCTGGAATCTCCAAAAGTATCCAGCCCTTCTGACTCCTTGACTGTAGCTCTGACCCCTGAAACTATAGTAAGCCACTGAACCTGTTACAGCAGCAATAGGAAATCAAGGTTAGAGAGTAGCTATGATCTAATCATGATGTTCCTTGCCTGGTCAGCTTCAAGTGTGCTCACCAACCCTTGCTGAATCCTGCTGTAGTGTGCATTCAGGGAATCAGGAAGCCTCCCAAGGCTGACGAGAGCTGCTAGTGAGACTCCTGCCTGGCACCTCTGCTGGCCTTCAGAAAGCCACTCTTCAGCTTGCTCGCACTCACAGGTACCGTGTTCTTGGTCTCAACTGAGAGGTAGTGCTGGCGGTTCTCGTGTTGATTACAACAGCAGCAGGTCGAGGCTCTCTCACCCTCAGCTTCCCTGATGCTGGAGCTGAGGGTGGTGCGGGTGAGAGTGCTTCAGGTTTGTCTTCCCTTGGGTGTCCCATAGGTGTTCAGGCACGGCAGTGCGCAAGCAGTGCTCTGTGACATGGTCCTGCTGAGTCCTCAGCCCTCCTGCCCTGGTGGACTCCCACGTGCCTGCCTGCTCCCTGTGAGTGGCTTCTGAATGAACACACTGCTGCTACAAAGCCACTGTTTTCCTCTCCCCGTCACTGCACCAGGACTTCCCTGGGAGGAAGCACCTCTCTGGAGGGCCTTCTCTGGAGGGGTGGTAAGGCACAGGTACCCCGCTATGTAGCTTGTGCAACCTGTGATTGGTGGTGGAAAACTTGTCAACATAAGCCGAACACTAATCATGCTCTACAGTAGCAATTGCAGAAAACGACCAGTGGACAGTGTGACATGAACCAGGGGCTCAGAGGCGAGGGGAATTACTGTTTTGTAATTTCACAAATGAAACAGTAAAAGCTTCATCAACATGATGTGCTGGTGGGTGGGTGTTTGGGGCAGTGGTTAAGAACCCACCTTATGGGACACCTACATCCCATTATCAGAGTTCCTGGGTTTGAGTCCTAGCTTCGCTGCCAATTCCAGCTTCCTGCTAAAGTGTACCCTGCGAGGCAGCCAGGATGGCTCAAGTATTTGGGTCTCCCATCCACATTGGAAACCTGGATTGAATTCTGGGCTCCAGGCTTTGGCCTGGCTCAGCCCCAGAAGTTACAGGCATTTGTGGGGTAAACCAGTGAATGGAAGGTATCGCTTTCAAATGAAATAAAAAATAAATAATTTTGAAAAGTAATTAAAATGCACTAATAGGTAGAAGAGTTTAAAATTCTGTGAGTGTGTGGTGACTACAAAGAGTTAGAAATTACTTCAATCTTGGTTTAATGGACCTTAAATGCATTAAATAAAGTTTTTGCAACCCCATAGGTTTGGATTGGGCAATTGCCCTAAGCTCCAAGAGCCCACATTGGTGCAGTTTAATCCCAATATCTGAGCTTTGGTTGCAGGAAGCTCTGTAGCCAGTAGCTGAGCTCTAACCAATAAACCAAGTCAAGCTGGAATCAACTGACTGGTTAACTAAGCTATAGTCAATTAAGCTGTTTTGAATGTCTCATTTGAGTTATTCCATAAACGCTGTTGGGTTCTGTTGAAGATCTCGCAATTTGGCTGTGGTTGCTGACCAGTGTGCATGGATTTTGTTTTACTTTGGTTTTTCTCTGCTCAGGTGAACTCTACTAGATGGATGTGTTTAAAGAATTTTCATTTTAGCAGGCATAAGGTTCTGCAACTGAAACACAATTCAGAACACAGTTGTGCTCTAGGGTCTGTTTGTCTTCCTGACCCTTAAATAAAACTCAGGTAAACAGTCCCGAGCTCCACTACTGGAAAAGGGTGACGCAAACCAGTCCTGAGGAAGAGGGCAGGCTTTCAGAGCTCACACTTCACAGAAGTTCTGCAGACATCACCTTGTTTGATGCTCAAAATCTTAAGGGAAAGGGGTACTGGAAATCTACATTCTACACACTGTAACTTCCCACCTCTATCCCTGTTCCAGGACTCACAGATCAAGGCACAACTCAAGAACTAGCTCTGGACATAAAGGGACAACAAGAGAGGAAATAAGCACGCAAATTGAATCTGGAAATTTTCATCAATAGTATTTCCTCCTATTGTACTTGAAATAGTTGACACCCCCTTTTTCCTTGGTTTTGTGACTCCTGCTTCTCTGACAGCTAAAACTTCATTTAAAAAATGTTCATGGGAGGATACCTAGACTAGTGGTTATGTTGTTGGTTATGATACCTATTTCCCACATCAGTGTACCTAGGTTTGATAGTCCATTTTGGCTCCTGTCCCCAGCTTTCTGCTTATGTGAACCCTGGGAAGCAGTGGTAACAGTTCAAGTAATTGGGTGCCTGCCACCCATGTAGGAGACCTGGAATGAGTTCCCAGCCCCAGTCATTGTGGGCATTTGGGTGGAGAACATTTGGATGCAGTGTGTTCTCTCTCTGTCTCTCCAATTTTAGAAACACCTTTTGTTATCCTTTCTACTTTCATTTACTTTGAAAGAGTTAAAGGGACAGGGGAGAGACAAAGAGCTTCCATACACTGATTACTGATTCATTCCCTAGATGGCCACAACACCTCGCCCTGGGTCAGGCCAAAGCCAGGAGCCTAGAGTTTCATCTGAGTCTTCTGTGTTGGGGGAAGGGGTGCCAAAGACTTGCTGCTTTTTCCCAGGCTGTTAGCAGGGAGCTGGAACAGAGTGGAAAAGCCGGGACTTGAACCAGCACCCATATGGGATGCCAGTGTCACAGTTGGTGGCTTTACACACTTTGGCACAACACTGGCCCCTAGAAACAACTTAAAAATTGCCTAGGTGAGGCCAGTGTTGTGTCACAGTGGGTAAAGCCAACATCTGTGGTACCTACATCCCATAGGGGCACCATTCTAGTCTTAGCTGCTCTACTTATGATCTAGCTCCCTGCCAATGCACCTGGAAAAGCAGTGGAGGATGGCCTAAATACTTAGACCCCTGCCACCCATGTGAGAGACCTGGAAGAAGCTCCTGGCTTTGACCAGGCCCAACTCTGGCAGTTGCAGCCATTTGGGGAGTGAATCAACAGATGGAAGATCTCTCTCTGCCTCCTTCCCCCACATCCCCCACCCCCCACCTATAACTCTGCCTTTCAAATAAATCTGTTTTTAAAAAAATTTGCCTAGGCAAGTGCTTCTGGAATTTTAATGCACATATCACCTGGGAATTTTGTTAAAACAGACTTTGATTCTGAGGCATAGGACTGGCTTTTGCAGCAAGCTCCCATGCTAGAGGTGGTGAATCCACTGGCTTGGAGACCACATCTTCAGAAGCAGGGGCCTGGAAGATATCTCTTAGCACTTTTTACCTGTTGAACAATATTGTTAGTGGTGCTTTAAGGCTGTAATGACAGGGTAAAATGAAAGTGTACTATTGTAAAAATTTAGAAAGGAAAGGAGTGGAGATAGAGGGAGGGAAGTATGGTTATCTTATGGAATTGTACCTATGAAATCTGTTCTTAATAAAAATTCTTAAAGTTAAAAAAAACCAACACTTTCACACACTTGTTCCTATGCCAAATACCTCCCTTTTGCCAGTGTTCTGATATTTCTTTTCTTTTTTTTTTTTTGACAGGCAGAATGGACAGTGAGAGAGAGCGACAGAGAGAAAGGTCTTCCTTTGCCGTTGGTTCACCCTCCAATGGCCGCCGCGGTCGGCGCGCTGCGGCCGGCGCACCGCGCTGATCCGATGGCAGGAGCCAGGTGCTTTTCCTGGTCTCCCATGGGGTGCAGGGCCCAAGCACTTGGGCCATCCTCCACTGCACTCCCTGGCCACAGCAGGGAGCTGGCCTGGAAGAGGGGCAACCGGGACAGAATCCGGCGCCCTGACCGGGACTAGAACCTGGTGTGCCGGCGCCGCAAGGCGGAGGATTAGCCTAGTGAGCCGCGGCGCCGGCCCTTTTTTTTTTTTTTTTTTGACAGGCAGAGTGGATAGTGAGAGAGAGAGACAGAGAGAAAGGTCTTCCTTTTGCCATTGGTTCACCCTCCAATGGCCGCCACGGCTGGTGCGCTGCAGCCTGCGCACCGCGTTGATCTGAAGGCAGGAGCCAGGTGCTTCTTCTGGTCTCCCATGGGGTGCAGGGCCCAAGCACTTGGGCCATCCTCCACTGCCTTCCCTGGCCACAGCAGAGAGCTGGCCTGGAAGAGGAGCAACCTGGAAAGAATCCGGCGCCCCGACTGGGACTAGAACCCAGTGTGCAGGTGCCGCTAGGTGGAGGATTAGCCTATTGAGCCGCGGCGCCGGCCAGTGTTCTGATATTTCTTCAATTTCTTGTTCTATGTAGGATGTTACTTTTTCTCATTCTCTGTGCCCACATAAATTTTTCCCAATAATTGGCTTCTCTTTACTTTGGGGGGAGTTCTTGCTGAATCATGCCATGGGCATTTAGCTGTCATGAAATGGGAAGCTCCCAGGGAACCCATGGGAGTTCAAGATTTGACCCATCAGAAAGAAAGTCCTTGATTTGGATCTCAGGGCTCTGTAACTTCTTACTATGATTATGTAATGCAAATA